GCCATTATCGATTATTAAAACTGATATTCAGCAAAAGAGAGGGTATGTTTCGTATTTTCACTGAAATTGAAAGGAGACAGTTGTTATCGGCTCCGTTTTGTTATAAATGTCCACACAGTGAAGATGACGCTCATAATGCAGCACGGCGCCTCAACATTTCTGCTGTCTGTTTAGTTGTTAATATTAAAATAAAAATAGGCAGTTCCTTATATCATGTTTACATTTTATAGTTGAGAAAGTGAAACAAAGTAGCCAGGGTGATGTGAATGAAGTTATAAAGTACACTGTTCCCTGTGAAGATTGACGCGTGTCCTCGGTATGTTTTCCATATCAAACTGAGAAGAAGAGCCTTGATCAAACTTGCGAAGTCTGAACTTACTGAAGAGCGGTGTTGACGCGGTATTGTCGCGTGCCTACTGAAGGGCGGGACCGACCGCGTCGCGGGGGCACTTTTGATCATTTTGGAAGGGCACTTTCCAGGGGTGCCTCCAAGGGGTGGCCAGGGGTGGCCACGGCCACCCCTCGGTAAACTCTGGCCACCCCAATATAATTTTGCGGTTGACATTATTGATTTAAATGAACTTATAAATTCCCAATATTTAGATAAATAAATAAATAAATACATAAATAAATAAATAAAATGCAGTCACTAAATTATTGTTGGTGTTACTGACCTAGCTCTCCCCCTCTGGTTCAATGCTGGTGAAAGCAAACTGACGCATGCGCGCGGAAAACCATTCCCGCGCGCCTCACGCACTCCTGTGTGAATCCCGGATGGTTGTTTGCATGCACGCCGACATAATAGGCACCGCTCATGCGCCGTGAAACCGGAGTAACAGCCTTTTGTGCAGAAGTGTCGGCACGCAGCGAGTTTTGAAAGTCGTTTAAAGTTTATATAATATGATGATGATGATGATGATGATGATGATGTTAATTTCACTAAGCATGCCTTTAAAGCAGAAAGGAGGGATAATGAGTCAGGGAGGTAAGACTTTATAACATGATTTCTCAGCCATGATCTGGTCTAAGACCACAGATAATTCTATAATACATTTTTTGTATTCTTTAGAATTGTCATAATTAATTTTCATGCAAAAGGTTTCTTAAGTGATGTTGGCATATCACTCCAGTTGTTGTTTTCCAGTAATATTTAGGACTAATTTCTGTTATTTATTTAGAATAATAATTGTATAATAATATTAATTGTATTTATTTAGAATAAATATAAATAAATTTTTATATTTATTGAATAACAAATCTAACAATTCAAGAGAGGTGGGGGTGTAAAGGGTGGTTCGCCCAGGGTGTCATTTAAACTAGAACCGCCACTACCCTTCACGATCGTCCTTGACAGCACACACACACCTTCAATAGACAGCAATGGCTATTTAATATTTACCTTAAGCTACAGTATATCAATAGAAGAAGCTGCATTAATAAAATGGTTCAAAAAGCAATATGGATAAATAATATTATTAGGTATAGTGAGTGTGTATAGTAATGCCTTTTGTTCAGTTTGTTCATTTGTTTGGGTAATTAATAAACTCATTATTCTTTCATTCATTTTCTTTTCGGCTTAGTCCCTTTATTAATCCAGGGTCACCACAGCAGAATGAACCGCCAACTTATCTAGCACATTTTTACACAGCGGATGCCCTTCCAGCTGCAACCCATCACTGGGAATAATAAACTCATTAATCTTCATTAATTTTAGACATGGCATATCTCGTATGATGTACAATAAAGGCACGTAAAAAAAGAAGTCATTTATACAGTATATGAAAAGTGTTTTTAAACTAAACATAGATTTTTATTTGGTTTGCACATGTACTTGCTGAATTATTTCAAAGAATAAATTGCAATATTTCAAGTAGAATTAATTAAATGAATAAAACTACATTATTTCATTTACCAGAAACAAAAATATAACATTACACTGAATTCATTATTTTTCTTTGTGTGCCACCCCAAGATTTGGTGCGGCCTCTTCTGGCCACCCCTAAGAAAATTTTCTGGGGGCGCCACTGGCACTTTCTATCCAAAGGGCATGTGCACTGCACAGGTTGAGCCCTATGTGTGCACGTGCCTGTCTCGGAGTATTTAGTGCACTATTTAGTTAGGATATGCAGCTCCGTCTGCTGAGGGCACAGCCGCTTCCCCACCGGCAGCCATGTCCGCTGCCCTATTCTTACATGTTAGAAAATACTGCAAATCAAGCTGTCGGTATCTCCCCGTGGTTGAAATTGTTCGTTATTCGAAAAAAAAAAAAAAGAATAAATATCCGTGCGCAAGCTTTCTAGATTTATTTTAGGCCTATATTCAGCTGTTTTAATCTTGCAATTCTGATAACTTTTAGAGATAATGTCTGTTTTTATCAACTTGTCTGTCATTTATTTCTCATTTGCTACTTATTTTATTAATTTGTTGATGTTAATATACTACATACAGTCTTGTATATGCATATCTAAAATCCTTTGGCATTCAAATTTGCTTTGAACTTGAAAGAGAGAAAGAATCTGATTTTACCCGTCAGAGCACATTGCATATGCCTTTTTTAAATAACATTTATTTAACAAATATTTTAGCACATCGAAAGTAATTAAATTACCTGTCTTTTGATTAAAACCTTTATGCAAAAAGATCAGAAAAAAAAGGCAATATATGCGCCATGACATCGCTCTCATGCCACGATTTGAGGATAAATTCGCTTTTAGGCGCTGCTTTGAATAAAATAAAACTATTAAAAAGCACATTAAAGACACTCATAAAATAAAACATTAATAAAGGAGTATCTTATGAAAAAACACCAATTGACGGGCTCTGCTTTCGGCTTTAAAAGAATCAAGCAGCTTTAAAAATATAATTTGCTGAAGAGAAATGACATGGAAAAAAAGATTAAACATATCGGCACTGTTAAAAGAACATTTCTCTTTGATATATTCTTTCGACTCCGACACATCAGCTAAGATTATGAACGTCGGAGTGTCTCTCCTGCTTCAGTAGCGTGTCCCGCTGGTTATAAAGGAGGAGGCGGAGAGAATGCGCTGCTTAGTTTCGGCTCGATATATTTAATTAAAAACTAACACCGAGCTGCTTATAACGCGCAAAAAAGTTAAACTAAAATGCACAACTCTTGTTGGTTGCACCTGCGGGATGCACAATGAACCCAACGCGCCATTATTTTAATTCTATATTCGTGAAGAATGAGCCAACCGCATATGCTAAGTCAGTCCTGTTGGTCGGGACTCTCTGCTTTATAACTTATTAGTTTATTACAATAATCACACTTAGCTTTGCCATCGTTCTTCACCACATATAGCCACTCAACACATCTTGCGGTCCATCTTTAATGTTTAGATTATTGAAGGTGCTATTGATGTTTTGAGAAAAAAAAATTGATAGTACTGAAACTAAATTATTAAAAATAAACTTGCGGGACTTCGTTTATGTCCTGCGGCAACATTATTTTTATTACACTTTAAGTGATCTGCTTGAGGTAGGTCACGTTTATCAATGGTAAGTTTTAGCCTAAGTTTACATCAATAACATAATGTGCATTGTCCTTTACCATACAAAAAAAGTAAAAAAAAACATTTATTTATATAGCATTTATTTTTAAATGCATTAAAAAACAAGCGCATATCTTAGCCTTGAGTTTGTTCACACTCTGCCTGACTCTGAATTAACATAAATGCTGTATTTTAATATAGCTAATTTTGATTAGCTTTAACTGACAGCCTTTTCTTCTTTTTCCGCGGTTATGCGCATTATATTTCACACGCATATGCAAGGTGACTGAATATGAAATTAAAATAAAAAACTTACTGAGCCATTAAGTAAAAAAACAAAACAAAACAACAGTTATACTTTAAAGCAGAACATTGACGTTTTGAAACAAAAAAAAAAAACGGAACTGAAACTAAATTATTAAAAATAAACCTGCCAGACTTAATTTATGTCCTATTTTCATTTTTTATTTATTTTCATTATTCGTTTATTATTATGTACTATAATTGAAACATAAAATGAGATAGTAAAATATAATCAACAACGAAAATGTAAATAAAAACGTAAATTAAAAACATAAATGAAAATATCTTGTCTTAGTCCTATCAAAATAGCAAACTACATCTCTCTATATTTAGACTAAAAGACTGCTATATTTATTTATTTATTTATTTATTTATTTATTTATTTAAGACTACTTATTTGTACTGAATATGCTTTCACTTTAGTTGTCTTTCATTTCTTCAATTCTATTTTCCAAAACGAATCCTCTTTGCACTTAAAAAGTTTACAATAAACAGGTAAACAAATTTTAAATGTAAGTTGAGGTGATCGCAAGTTCACAACTGTGAGGTGATGTGCTCTACCGGCAGGATAATATATATTATTTTGCTGTTTTTCATATGCGTACGTTTAAGATTTGAGATAATAACATTGCCATGATAGTCAAAGAAATCAAAACATTATTTTCACCCCAACGCAATTTAATCGGGCACTGAAGGCTAATAACTTAATTCTTATATTTGCTTTTTGACTTCTCACCATGTATCTTTTCTACAGCATAGTATAGTGTAAGAGCATGTCTATTACCAGAAAAACTAAATTAAAATTATATTTTAATTGAACACATCACATCACATACAGTAAGCTACGCCTACAGAACAGTCTGTTTAGCATTGTGAAAAGGCAAAGCTGAATATCTGTGGTTAAAGTGCCACCCAGCGGTCAAATGCTGCTGGCGCATCAAGTACCGCTGTCGCCGCGGTATGAATGGCGGCACAAGGAACACATTGAAGTAGTAACATCTGTACATTACAACTTCAACTATGAAGCTGCTTTAACACAATCTACACCGTAAAAGTGCTATAGAAAAAAAGATGAATTTATTCTGGTAAACACCTTTGTTTGAATATTCTAACATGCTTTTATAATCATGTTAAGGGATTAAACATTAACATGTAATTTTAAATTGTGTTATAAACTAAATTGTGCACCTTATGCCCTTGATGTTTCCCGTACTCCTTGCAGACGCAGCACATGAGCGGTCCAGGCTGACAGCCGTCCTCCAGGCAGACAAACTCAATGGCATGCACCTGGTGCTGCGGGCAGAGCATCTTCTCATGGGGTTTGTCTGCCAGTGGCACACGCCGGTGCTTTGCCAGTGTTCGGGTGGAGTGGGTGAGCTGGGAACACTCGGCACACAGATGCGTAGCACAAACCGTGCAGTACATGGAGGCAGTGTGAGTCTCATCCTCATCACAGCGGATTATGCACTAATTGAGACATGGGGGAAAAAAACACCCTTGTAAATTACAATGAAAGTACAACCAAAAAAAAGTTGGGTTTTTAGATATATAGTTATTTTTTCATAATTGTAAAAGTTCTATCCTGGAGTACCCTTTACTTTCAATATAATTAAGTACAACATTAACTTCATCATGAAAGCATCTCATTAGCCCCTTTCACACAGTGATACCGGAAAATATCCGGAAAATTTACGGAACGACTTTACCGGTATGTTCAAAAAAGTGCTGTTCACACAGGCGAGGACGTTACGGAAATTTTCCGGAAAAGAGCATTCACACATCCATTCCAAAATACCGGTAAATTCTGACATCATTCACCACAAATGAGCTTTAAACGGCTGCGCTTGTATTTGTAAACATTTGACTAAATTACAAACTCTTTTGATGATCAATATTGTAAACAACTTTCACAGGATCATATTCGCATGTCGAGATGTTCATAATATGTGCGTGTGCTGCCGCTCACAGGCTGTTTCATGGGCACACGCAAAGCTTGAAGGTAAACAAACAACGGCTTATCATAAGCATCTTATCGATGATTATTTGCACAGTTGGCATTAAGGAGAACATATAAACGTTATCTGACTAACTTCTAGCAGCTAAATGCGTCTGGAAAAATATTCAAAGGCTTTTATTCTCACAAACCGCGCGGACGTAAATGCGTCTGACTGTTGTGATTGGCTAAAGCAGAAGTCTTACGTCAGCACGTTCTAGACGTGCACGCGCTTATTCCGGAAATATTCCTTCTGCGTTCACACAGCGCAGCATTCCGGCAAATTGCCGGTAATGTTACAACTTCTCTTTCCGGAAAATAGCCAGAACGAATTTACCGGTATTTTCAAAAAGGACCTGTTCACACATACAACCTTTCCGGAAAATTGCCGGTAATTTTCCGGAAAGGTCTGTATGTGTGAAAGGGGCTATTGTGTGAGTATACGACAGTGTCGTATGTTGAATTAATGGATATATTGTTACTGGATTTTTTAAAAACACAAGTTGCATTTATTGCTTCAACTTATAGTATAAAGTGCAATTAACAAAGCATACCAAACACACAGTACATACATACTTAGATTTTTTATTTATTTATTTTTTCTCAACAAATGTACTTTTTGGGACATCTTACAGTCACGAATGACTTCAGAGTCAGGTGTGTTCACACTTATTTGCTTCACTTTTTTTTCTCTTTTCTTGATGCATTTCATTTCTTTTAGTCCAAACCAAAAAAAGAATAAACATTTTGTCCCAATTCCGTTTAACATTCACTCTTATTAATAAGACAATTTAAATAAATATAACAAGCTAAAATTTGGGCTCAAACCAGAAATTTCACTTACACTAGGATATGTCCACAGAGAAATGATTTACTACTAACGACAACTTCAAGTTTACAAGCGACTGTGTCCTTTGTATACATTACTATTCATCAAGTAGGAAATGTTATTATTGCAAACTATGCATGGGCCAGTATAAAAATATCACAAATAAACATTTTCACAGTTTTACGGTATTACACCTCAAGGTGTAATTACACCTCTAAAATATGTTCCTTTCAAATGTCTGGGTAAAAAACTAAATCTTTTTTCCCTTTGAACACAATATATTTTATTTTGAGAGACTTTATATATTTTGAAATAGGGATGTTTAAAATTTTCGATTAACCACTTACCGAAATGGTGTGTTTGTAATAGATTAATGGTATCGGTTAAACGATTAAAAAATATTATTTTATATATTTTTAAAGTTTGGCTGCATAAGGGGCCAATCACAATGAACGCGCTTTTTGTGTTGAGAAGGACATTTTTTAAAGGGTTTATTAACTGTTTTGCATGCTGCTTATGTTGTGTGCTCGCAGTTGAAATAAAAGTCAACCCTGAACGGAGGTGCCTCCAGTGTTTGTGTTGTCAGGATGACAGATAACTAATGATGGAGGAGAGACTTGTGGCTGCAGTTTCAAGTTATCTAGAGGTGTAGGCAGATTACTTTACAAATTATGTTATTCCATATATTAAAATGATAACAACATAAGACAGCAACACTCGCGCACAATAGACCAGCTGATTCAGTCGCTTCCTATAGTGACATAAAAAAAAAAAGCACTGCGCTTCTTTTTTTTTGTCAACATAAAGGCAGTGCAGTGCGCCTTGCATTTTTGGATCGGAAAAGCGCGTTTGCTGTGATTGGCACCTGATGTGCAACAAATATTTGTTACCTTGCGGAATGATAACACATGCAACCACTCGTGTCTAGACATATTTTGTCAAAAAAACAACATGAAAGAAGAATATTTCTAGTCAAAGTTTGACACAAACAAGTTGACACAAACCAGTGCTAATGCTGTTTGCAAGTGAAATAGGGAACTAAGTAATTTTGACAATCTTTAAACTAATGACTTTTATTAAAATGGTCAAAAGGGTTTTGTGACATAATATACAACGAAGCATTAATTAAATGCATATTTTCAGTGGAGCATTCGATTTAATAGTCTGATATTTTTGTTTGACGGAAGAAAAAAACATTGGAAAAAACAGCCTATGCCAGTTTTTAAAAAGGATACAATCAGTGTTTTCGTTTTGTAATCTAAATTTGTCATTTAGGTGAAAGATATCTATGGCAGGCTTGTTTATTTGTTTATTTAGTTTATTCTTTTTTTTTTCTATGCTGTTAGAAACAATGCAGGTGCGTGAAGTTGCTCTTTTATGTTTTGTATGCTGCTGTTTGCATGATAAAATAAATCAGTATTTTAAATATATTTAATGGGCTCACAAAAAGGACGCCTCAATAAATTTTATTATTAAATAATATTTTCTGCTATCTTCATTAGTTTCAAAAACAAAGATTTCTTGTGGTAACTTGAAAAGGCATGTTTGTAGATATTTTCTGCTGGAGATACTATTGTTTTAAAAACAAAATGTAAAAAACAAAACGTACATATACAGTAGGAACAGTAGAGCAGAAAATTTTGTCAGTCTTAAAACTTTTGAGTTTTCTAAACTACGGTAGAGATCTGCGTGGAACTGAATTTTTAGTCCCACTCCCTCCAGTTTTTAATTCCGCTCCTGACCGCTCGCGCTGTATATTTAGCCTTTGATGCTGCGAAGCCCACCCCATTTCCCGGTTGGAAAGCGATCAGTAAGTGAATAGCAGGGGTGAGGGGGTATAAGAGATCAATAATTGAAAGACGGCAGGCCAGAGTCACAGTGGTAGGTAGATTGACTGTCAGGTCACCAGGAAATGTCCCGGTGCTCCCTATGACCAGTCCGCCTCTGCTTATGCATAAGAGAGAAGAGCGGCTATTTATACCAAAGCACAGTGGTGGAAAAAAGTCAAAATATGGCAAATGCACTTAAAACACATTTTTTGCCTTGTTTGTGCTTGTGCAGCTACAGAAAAGCATAAAACAATGCCATTTTTAAAATAAACTTATGATTAAAAACCACATAGTGTAAGGAGGAACAAGTTGGACAAAGAGGATTCTATCCCCATAATCACTGCCAAGATTTTGTTTTTAAACTCATTTAGAGATCCATTTAGGACAGATGGTATGGAATCTGAAATGCAGCACATTAGATCATGTTTATACTTCATTTTTTGTTTGTAGCTATATTGCTAATATAAAAAAAAACTGTAAATTTGAAAAATGTACACTTCTAACCTCTCCCATCTCACGAAGCGCATCCTCCGACATGCCTGACTGATTGGTTGCCCCATTCTGTAGCCGTTCAAGCAGTTCTAGCAAGGCAAAGTTCTTCTTCAGGCCCCACACACCTGAGTCTCCTGGAGAGCAAAACAAGAATATGATTCTTCCCAGTATGGAAATTTTTAAATATTGAGTTACATTGTTATTATAGTGAACAGAAAGGCAAACTCACCCAGCTCAGTGACCTGTCTATCAAAGGGGCAGCGTACTGCCCTGCCGTGGAGAGGCAGTCGTGTCAAGCAGTCGTGACACACCGTGTGTCCACACAGCAGCAGTCGTGGTACCTTATCACCTTGTAGTGAAAACACATCCTCACACACACCACACTCCAACACCTTTAAGTCAACAAAAAAAACATGTATTTCTTACAGGAAATGTTGCAGATTATTATTTGTGTAGACATTTCTGAGTGAATTTTATTTTAATAAAAAGACAGGCCTTTAACTTACATGATGTCCACAAATAGAAAATAACAAACAACCAATCCTTCAATTAGTTTGAGACTGACAAAATCAAGTCCCATCCCACATTTTTAACATGCTGAATCACTAGTATATGCACATAACAATAATGAAGAATATCATCACATCCTTCATTTTAAATTATTAACTTCTCATTCAAAAAGCCAATTAAGCTTTTGTTAATTACAATTTATTTGTTATTTGAAAAAATATTTCAGCAAAAACAAAGAATAAAATTAAATTCTAAAACGTTTATATTATATATTATAATATATAATAACAATTGTTATATTATACAAAACGCATACGTACGTTCATAAAAGCTAACATTTAATTTAATATCGAAAGAATGTTATAATAAACTTGGGGGAACTAGCATGACGTATGTCATTAATTCTGCAACATTTAGACCTATTGCCTTATGTTCAGCCATAACTTATAACTACATCTCCTAATTGCTTTCTAGTTGACGTTAAATGATAAAAGTGTTGAAGATATGAAGCTCACACTCTTTCTATGGACCAGTTGATCATTTAGCCAAGCCGGCTAACCCATTCTGCACAACTCATTTAATAACGGCAGAGTTATCAATACAACACATTTTTTCATACTTACGACTTGTTTTTTACAGTGTCGGGCGTTTTAAAAATAGGTGTGTGACATCTTATTTAATGTAAGAAACGCTGTGACAGTTTTGAATGATGCTATCATTAGCCTGCTAACGCCCTGCAGAATCTCACTGAACTCCACCTAGACAGGTTAAAAATAACGTCTCTTACGTGATCGTTGTTAGCTAAACATCTAGTATAGTTGTTATTTATTTAATATGCATCATACCTTCACCGCATTAGCGGCAGTTCCTCGGCCGTGTCTCACACACGATTCCATCGACGCCTGTTTATTTACACCGACAGCAGCGGCCATCCTCGGACTGAACCATCTAATGACACTTTAGTGTGAACATGGCATAGTAATTTAGCTCTATTTTAGGCTGTCATGTGGTAATAAAAATTACTTTAAAATTATATTTTTAAGCTGTATCGCGAATGTTTGTATTATGTCTCAATTAAATTATACCAATCGTGTAACTCTGTCACCCATGTATAACAGTGGATCAGTCTGTCAGCTGTTTCCTGTGCGAGTACGCGCTCATCAAATGTTACAGCCCGAAATAAATACATATGAAAATTAGGGTTAATTTACCAAATATTGCTTAACTGACTCGTATGAAGTTAAAACGTTGTATAGTGTTGTCTTAAAGTGAAAATAAACATGTTTCAAAACATTGCATTTTTGTTATTTTTTTATTATTTAAAATGTGTCTAAATGACAAAAAATACACATTAAACTTGGAGGAAACATCAACAGCTTTAGAAAGTTGAAAAATCAATATTTGGTGGAATAACACCAATTTTCAGTCAACAAAATTTGAGAACATCTGACCAACTGTAATTTTCTGGGGACTATTTAGGCCTGTAGCCAGCCTGGTAAAAGGGGTGGTTCTTTTTTTCTCAAAAAGTGGACCTTTTTGCACTTATACGCCTCAGTTTTCTATTTAACTACGAGATTTAAATACTGCATTTTAGTGATATGTTGATGGATTAATATGGAATCAGATAAGTCTCAAAAGAAATTCACGCAAAAGACATGATGTACACATGCGTAGCCAAATTCACGTGCATAAAACCAAATTCACTTGCGTAAAATATTTATTTATATTCACAAAAAAAATTCACGTGCACAAAATAAAAATGCATTTTCATAAAATACGTTTCACAAATGCAAAACACAATTTGCAAATGTATAAGAGTGTACAAAAAGTTTTGAATGTTTAAAACTTGCGAGTTCATCCTGAATGAGAATGTGCAAATCCTCTTTCACGTACGACTCCCCCTGGATACTTGTGTGTGTATTTTTGAGACTGTCCTGCCAGAGGCAGGGCAACTCGTACCTTTCAGCCAATCAGACGAGAGCTGTAGTCGATGACACCCACTCTGCGCTCCATTTGCGCAGACTGTTCCTCTCTCATGAGGGATTTATCACTTAAACTCTTTTTGTCTAAAACTGAAAGTTTATCACAATCGGTGTATCTTGCTAAAGTATTGGATGTACCAAAATCCGTTATTTAAAAAAAATTATTTAGGGATGTTTAATTTTATATGGAAAAACAAACCTCATTATTTAAATAGAAATATTTTATGTAATTCATATAATCAAGGAGGTTTGAATTTGCTTGATTTTGATACTTCCAATACATTTTTTTAAGTTGAATTGGATTAAACATTATATCAAGCACAAAAATGAAATATGGTGTATAATCCCAAACCTTATTTTTGAAAAACTTGGTGGTTTAGGGTTTCTTTTGAAGTGTGACTTTGAGATTAATAAACTTCCCATTCAGTTATCTAATTTTCATAGGCAGGCTCTTTTATGTTGGATACCTCTATACAAACACAATTTTTCTCCCCATAAACAAATGATAAGGAATAATAAAACTGTCAGATATAAAAACAAATCAATCTTCTTTGATAATTGGGTTAAAAAAAAAGATATTCTATTGGTCTCATAGTTATTGTGAATGATAAAGGATATTTACTGACTTATACAAAATTTTTAGAGAAGTTTATTTTTCCAGTGCCCCCACGAGATTATTGTATTGTAATTGATGCAATACCAGCAGGCCTGGTAAGGCTTTTGCAGGGTTACAGTGAACTAGATAAGCTAACAATTAAAAATGAGATTTTATTAGATGGTGTTGATGTCAAAGATAGAAAATGTAATAATACATTTCTAAGAAGTTTCATTCATTGTCCTGCAATTTTTAGACACAAGTACTTTTGGAATTACCAATTTGAGAATATTAATTGGAATTTGATTTGGACCTATAACAATAAGTATTGTGTTACTAATAAAGTCAGTGAAATATACTTTAAAATTATACATAAAATATATTCAACTAACCAGTTTCTCAAGAGGTATAAAGTTGATCTTTCAGAATCGTGTGTTTTTTTTGTGAAATGGAGGTTGAGACTATGATGCATTTGTTTTTTGATTGTATGTATGTTAAATATTTCTGGTTTGATGTTGAAAGTCTATTTAATATACTGAGGGGTCATAGAATTATTATTAAGAAAAGCGATGTCATATTTCTACAGATAAAAAAGATTTAGATAAGAATCTCCTGTTTATGTTTAATCTGTTGATATTATTGGGCAAGTTTCATATACACAAATGTAAATGAACGGAGAGAAAGCCTAACATCTTTCATTTCAAGGCTGATTAAAAAATTTATTTTGAGACTCTTAAAGGACTTTAAAATCGTAAAACAACCAGGACTGTGAATATACTTCAACAGCTAAACTCCTCTTCTCTATGGTAATGCCTACTCCTGTTTTTTATTTGTTTTATTTTTCTTTCTTTCCTTCCTTTTGCTTTTTTGATTTTTGTCACACATGTTATGCTAAAATATGTAATAATGTAAGAATTATTAAGCATTTGACTGGAAATGTTTTGAAAATACAAAAAAAATATATATATAATGTTTCTCTCCAGCATGGCGAGCGGAGAAAGCAGCAGTCGCAGTCACACTTTTTTATTCATTTATTTATTTATTTGACCATAGCCTCAGTCTTTTTATCCATTATTTTGCCGCAGTTTCACTCTTCTTATTTATTGTCTCGCAGCCCCATGAGCAAAATGTAGCCTGCAGGGTACTGGTGAGGATTAAGTATCATTCCAGCCACACAATCACAGCAGCGTCATTGGACATTGTGGTCCAGCGGTAAGTACGTTACGTTACGATGCCCTTAGATCCATGTTCTATCTTTACCTGAATAAATATAAATATATATTTTTTTCATTTTTATTGTTAAGACATATAAAACTATAAGGTTGTTGAACATTTGAAGTTCTAAAGCAGCGATAGCAGCGTGCAAGTTCTAAAGCAGCGTGATAGTGTGTAATTAGAAACTGAATTGGAAATGACCTTATTCACATCTTTTTTTGATTACCATGAAGTTTAACATGATGCTGTAAAATCAGTCTATGTTGGTAATTTAACAAATCTAATCTAATACACAATCCTATGAAAAAAAGTAAAGACTGAGGTCTTTTTTTGCATGTTGTTAGTTTTTAACTATTAACTACTATTTTTATTTACTGTGGGTTATGGATAAAATGTGAACTAATTAATGCTATAAGATTTAAATACTGCATTTTATAAATTTATTGAAGGATTAACTAGTCAGATGTCATTATAACCACAGTTTTTGATTTGCTAAAAATATTTCCTAAAAAAATTGCAATAACAAAAATTAAAATAAAGAATAGGTTTTAAAATACAAATTTAAATCATATATCATAAGGAAAAAATAGCAATCTATTTTAAAGTAAGAAAACTGTAGCCCACTATCATTTATTCGTCAGAAAACAAACTGGCCAGCACATGGAACTGCCCTAAGTCACGATTTGTCCATTTCAATAATAATAAAAAAACTAATAATAAAACAATTATAATTAATTCTGCTTTGGTAAAAAAAAGTACATTTGGAAATTCCTGGATATCAACAATGGCCAAAATATATTCAAATTTATATAATATGGTCTGCTTCTGGTGCTTCACATCTTTTTATTGCTCATTTTTGTTTCAGAATTAAGGTCCAAGATTTAGAATAAAGTTACCTGTAAAATGTTTCCTCAGTTTAAAAAAACAATACAGTAGTGAAAGAAGACTTTGCTTACATCAGATTATAGTACCACCGAAGCAACAGCCGAGGACTCTGTTTGGTCTTAAAGCCTTTTTTCGATGGATTATTTTCATTATTTATGATGGCAGCAGTCAAAATAAGACAAATGAGCTCATGTATGGGACAAATTCTGGACCTTTGTCAGTGAGTGGTGGGTCGAACCCCCTGGCTACAGGCCTGAAAAGTTGGTACATGTTTTATGCTTATAGTAAACCTGTTTTTAATAAAATTTTGGCTGTAAAAGCGCACCTACAGGTGTTTCAGGCGCAGGTCAGAATTTCTCCTGGTCATAATTTATTTTATTTTTATTCATTTTGTCTATAAGATTTTCTCAATAAGATTTATATCCGATCAGAATAAACGAGTGAAGTGACCAAACAGCCTCAAAAACACACACGTGACGGGATTAGCGCCTTTTGCTGTGAAGTAAGTGACATCTGCAGGGATGCCCCCAAGTGGTAAACTCTGGCCACCCCTGTGGCCACCCCAGTATGATTTTGCTCTTGAAATTATTCATTTAAATTTACTTATGTAAATTCATAATATTTCAATAAATGAATAAATAAAATGCAGCCACTAAATTGTTGTTGGTGCCAAATGACTTACTGATTCACTGCCTCTCCCCCTCAGCGCCCACATTATGAAGCTGCAGGCCCAGGACCCAATTCGCACACTCAGACCAGCTCGCTCAGATGGGTGGACCTGCACTTCCAGACCTTTACAGTGCCACCTACAGTTTAAAAGATCGACTAATCTGAATTCAGTTGCTTCTAAATTGTAATTGAAACTATTTTTTTTATAAAAAAGTTAACGCTATGATTAAATACATTATTATATGACATATTAAACATACTAGATTTTTGATTTAATGCATTAATTCTGTTGTATTTCTATTTATTGTATTTGTAAATATTGTTCAGCTACTTCAATATTTTTAGACATTTATTGTTTTTTTTTATCATTTGGGATTAATCACTGTTTCGTATTGAGCTGAGGAAAAGAATAATATCTTTATATACAATAAATTTCTTCACAACCTACAATAGTAATATGAGTAATTTTCTCACAGGTTTATTTTTGTGTACTTTTTCATAAGGTCCTACAAGTCAAGCTGTAAACAATGGAGAGAAAAATGGTGAAAAATAAAATTTTAGTAATAATTATTTTTTTATGTAGAAAATAACATCAAATAAAATAAATGCTTTACATTCTTTTTAGGGAGATTTTTCTTTTCTAGAGCAAAAAAAAAAACAAACAAACAAACAAATGGAAATATCTGCAGTCTTTGGCAAATTATTTTTGATTTAACCTAAGAGAGCTCATATTGTAAATTCTATGCAGAATAACTGATATTTTGACTTCCAAAAAACATATTTGTAATCATTACAGAACTTATTAATA